CTTTACGAATTGAGAGGTGAATTTAGGATTTAGACCATATAATAAAATCTAGTAAATTGGTATAACTAGTAGAGATATCTATACTCATTATTGCGGTCATAAGTGAATTCCTAGAACAAAGGATTTGTTTAGCTAAGCTTGATTCGCATAAAGATATGGAATTGAATTAGTTAAATAGGTTCAATGAGAACTCGAGAGCAATAAATTGAATACAATAGGAGAATTCGATCGAATAGTACATTAGATATGAATCTTGATTTTAGATGTAAAGGTGATCAATAGATGAAATTATTATGCCCAAATATCTGTTCATTATTTTATCTCTAAACTAATATTTGTGTGCAACCGCATTTTGTTACGTATTTAACTTTAAATTAAACCATACAAATCTTTGTTTTCTTTGTCAAATAGTAGTTAGAAGATAGTAGATTAAGTTTTAAAGTATAGTTCTCGTGGGAACGACAATCCGAACTCATAGACCCATTATACTACTTGTTTGATATCGTACACTTGCGATAGCAAAAAAGCAACAAGTTTGCCTGACCAAATGCTAGATTAGCTCTTTACAATTGGTGGACCCATATATTCACTCATTAGCCTTGCTTTTTCATTCACTGCATCTGTATTTGGTTGTACACCTTCCAAACGACCCCTGATGGCCATTTGATTCAGATTTTCCTTTGTCATTTCTTCCTCTTTCTATTTTGGTGTGTTTCCAACTATTGCCATCTTCGAAGGTTGAATGTTCGTTGGATTTTTGGGTCAAATAGAGTAAGATCCCCGGCTCTCAAACTTCATATACAAGTTCCTGAAAAAAGAAAGTAAGAAACGCTGTAAAATTTTTCTAATATAATAAACTAAACTGAAATAAAAAAGTAAAATTCATATTAAAGCTAAAATTAACTAAAAATAGTCAAAAACAATATCCCTGACAATGACGCTAAAAACTTGATCGTTTGATTTCCCACAAGTGAACAAGATTGTGAACAAATAATTTAGTATTGTGTAGAGCATCGAATCCATAATGACTAAGTGTTTGATTTAGTTCAAATTAATAATAACTTTAATCGAATAGCAATATAAATTTGTAGCAAATCAAAGTCTAATTTATCAAATAAGATGAAAGTAAGTAAATGTTTATCAAATTCGTAAGATGTATTGCTAAAATTTAGGATCTCCCTTGCTAATCCATTTTTAGCAAAAAAAAAAAATTAAGATGATAGTTTGTAGTCATTATAGTTGGTCAATGTTTCTAATTTAATTGAAAACATTTCTCGATAGTTATCAAATCTACTCCCATCACGTGACATTCCTATCTCTCGTTGAAAGATACGAACATGATAAGTGCGTTAAACGATCTAGAACGTCTATAAAAACCATGTAAAGCATAAAAGTATATTTCTATCTTCTATCGAACCTTATAATGTTTATTATTTTCAGCTAAAAACCTATTAACTCTCTTGATAACAATAGATTCCAATAAATCATCACAATTAGTAGCTAATTAACTGAGAAATCGGTAAAAATAATAATAAACATCCAAGCAAGCGTACATACTACACGTCAAAATAATTAATTAATACCAAAAGTCTCATAATAAGGGTTCATCTCATCCTAGCAATGTATAAATATAGTCAAGCATAATGAAATTACAAGAACACATTTTAAAGTTAATAATATCACCCAAAATTTAAATAATTAGTGAGAAATTTTGAATGAATTCGATGAAATCTTAATATCTCTTTAAGTTTCCTTACAGTCCTTGTGCAATCTTTTTAGTGTGAATTATGTTCAATAGTTTGCTTGCAATTCCTTGGTTGAAATCTTTCACAAAGATGAATTTGCAATCTTTTCCAATATGATTCTCTCAATTTTTTGAGTTGTTTCTTGCATAAAAGAGGGTCTTCATTTGTATGGAACATTCTAGTATTTAAAATGGTTGTATCTAGGTTAAAGATGTTGCATAAAGCTTTGTCAAGTTGAGTTTTAATCGTATAAGGAAACTTGAGATTCAGCCAAAATCTTGTACTATGAACTCGCATAGTACATTGGGATGCTACCCCATAGATCACTTATTGAACTTCAGAATTTTCTCCACAAGATTGAATGTGACTGCAAGAATTTTGAACTATGTGACTGCATTGTTCAAGTTTTTTCTCCGTCGAACAGTCTTCGATATTTTGGTCATAACTGTCTCTCTCGATATCCGATTGAGATAATTCAAAGTATATTGGAAAGCTAACTGAAACAGGTACAATTTTTCTCAAAAATAGAATATTTTCAATTAGGATGTTTACTATGCCAAAATGGGTCTCAAACAGAGATTGAAAATTTGAAGCATGATGTTGTTGCCTAAAAGTTGATATGTAATAATATTTCGACTATATTTCATCCCTTTGACTCATTTTCTCATCTGATTGACCCCTAACACTAGAATCTTCATCGTAAGGTTCAACTAAACTTTTTAATATTTACAGTTTTGTCCTTAGACTTTGATTTTGTTTTATTTCAACCCCTTTCTCTTGCAATCTTGTTTTTTTTATCTTCCAGATGTATCCAATTAAAGCCTTAGCATCTTCGATCTTTATTTCATTGCCCATCTCATCCATGGATTATTTGCATCATAGTCTCTATCTTTTGAATTTCACACTTTTTTTTGGGTTTTCCTTTTGTTTCTTCTAATTTTTTGCTCAATCATTGAACTTTACCTATTTAACATAAAGCACAATAATTTAGAATATATTTTGTCGAAAGAACTAGCAAATATTGCTATTTTAGACTCCAAATGAGTGTATAAAATACACTTATCATGACATTGATATGGACACCACATTAGTGGAAGTAGCATATTCCTATAATGATTAGAAGTGTATAACTTTTTATTTTAATATTTGTAATGATATAATTATTTATGTTTTAACAAAAAAAAAAGGTGATTTGATTTGGTTTAGAAATTGAACTGATGAGTTGGGAATGTACGCGAATAGAGGCCGTTGGGTACGTTGCTATTTAAATAGCAGCTTCTGGGCGAAAATGTCAACAACTCAATGTAGTGAGAGTATGAATGCGTTCTTCGATTGGTATGTGCACTCAAAGACGTTGCTGCAGCAATTTGTCGAACAATACGAGTGAGCCTTGAGAAATAAGGTAACGAAGGAGTTCCAGGCAGATTTCAAGTCTTACTCTAAAATGGTACCATGTGCAACAAAGTACGAGCTGGAGAAGTAGTTTCAACTAGTGTATACCATTTCGAAATTCAAGGAAGTTCAGAACGAATTTATTGGAAAGGTTTATTGTGATCTCATATCTTCATCGGAGGGCTTTCTAAGGACGACGTATGAGATCTTAGAGCATCACAGCATAATGTCAATGGAAGTATACAGGATCCAAAATGCTCAAAGAGAAAAGGTGCACCGAGGAAATATCGCAAGAAAAGCCCTTTGGAATCGAATTCCAGTAAAGCAAAGGTATGTTTCCAATTTATTTTGTTTGGTAAGAAAGTGTATAGAGTAGTAATTATTTGTGTGTTATTTAATCCCGTCCAACTTCAGCTAAGGAAAGGAGACCGAAGGCAGGCCAAAGTAAACTAGGAAAAGTTGAACTGCTCTTACTTTGTCTAATTCAATTTTTGACTGAATATGATTTGCACGTTTTAGTTATATTATGATATGGTGTAGGGTGATGGTGACAATCATGAATTTACACAACAAGGAATGTTTCCTAATTTCATCCCAGTGGCTTCAACAAGTGTTATTTGTATGGTCAAGGTAATTATATGGTTAAACATATGTACATTATTTCAAGTCGTACTCTCGCTCGTGTAATAACTTTTTCCAATCGACAGCCAGACATCCAATGCCTTACCACTATTCAAATGTACCTCACCAACGTAGACAAAACTTGATATGACGAGTTGGACTGGTTTTGAAGGTACATAAATTTTATCATGCTTTGAATTTTTGCAGACAACGCAGTTTTGGGACACATGACTAGAGAGGAATTTTTTTTTTTTTTGGCACTATTAAATTTATATAAAGCTGTATTCTAACATGTGGAAAAAGAAGAAGCATCGTACTGTTACTAATATAAAATTTGACGAGTGAATTTGAGCTTTTTATTCAGTTACTACAATTAATTGACATTATTTTGCCATAATATTAGCCTTGTTTTGTTTGTGTATGACTATTTCGTTAAACACATAAAGCAAGTTGTACTTCTCTCCGTTTATGTTGGTATTTTATACAGTAGGTTTTGCATATTTGTTGCTCAATTGGTATATGTCTTGTGCTAAACACACATATAGCCATGTACAATGATCTTTAACCATTCAATGTCAAGAATTGCATATTAACCTACGGCAGAGGATCATGGATCATGTCCTGAAATTCAACCCTCTATTTTTGAAATGCCCAAATGGCTATTAAATTTGATGGATTTTTAATGGTTTTCTTTCAGATATATTACTGATCATACGGTTAAAGAACAGAAGCTAACTCCTGGCACAGATGGAGATGTAAATCTACATGCGAAGATGCATATGCAGAAAGAGTTGTATCAATATTAAAATTTTCCAAAAGGTTGTATAGATGTAGAACCCAACTCCAAAAGACAAGAAGAAAAGAGAAGCTGAAGAGAAGATGGCATGGCCAAGTATTCTCTAGAATTTTGATTCTTATCATGTCTCCGTTATAAGCTTATAACTCAGTTTGGGCAATGATCGGATTAGAATATAAGAGAGTCGGTATGGAAAAATAGAAATCTAAGGTAGGAGAATTGGGTGAGTTACTTCAAGAATACCTGTTTTCTGTCCTGAAAATATTATTCTTGTTGGAAGAATTGGATCTATTAACTGAGAGCTTTAGTGGGATTTTGATTCATGGAATGCAATGTTTTGTTGGTTGAAATTATATTATTGCTTGTTTAAGAAAAGACGAGTCCTTAGCATGATGAAATTTATATACCTTATCTAAATTTTCAGATGCAATCCCAGTAAAATCATGAAGAACACAAACTGCAGTCCACTAATATTAACACTAACATCGTTCACATAGCGACTGAAACATCAAAAGTGACTACATTACAATGATTTCTTCACATAACACAACACATATTACACATCAACTTCACATAATACAACACATATTGCACATCAAAGGTGGTAGTGATGCATCCCAAGAAATATAACCAGTAATCATGCCGGCCCCTTCTTATCCACTCCCACACTTCCAATGGCATTTCTTATTGTCACATTCAAAGAAATCTCAATGTTTTGTTCTCCAGTTACCTGACAAAGGGAATGGAACATGCGAGAGAACTGCTGGACTTCTTCAAATGCCTCATGATTATTCGAGTTAACGACAATAATACTCGATCTACAGCTTGATTCTCCTTCGTCAACCCATTCCCAGTATTTACAGTTAGCATTGTAGCAACTGAACGATTTTCCCTTTTTCTTCATCTCCCCCTCAACCTCAAAGCACTTCACAAATCCAATTTTACACCAGGGGCATCGTTTCTCTGGGTAATCGCAAAGAATTGCCCCTTCTCTCTACAGCTATGACAAGGTCCAAAATTCTTTTCTGTCATACTACATACAAATGAAAAATAGGTTGCACTATATTAGACAACAACCACACACCAATGTAAAATCCACAAATTTGCAAAACCCATACTCTATTTTTTTCCTACCAACGTTGTTTGACAAAAATTTCTATTAATTCAAAACATCACTTATTCGTTCATAATACATCTAAACTACTAATGAGTACTATCAAATTGGATGAATTTTAAAATCTTTGATGTAGTCGGGATGAGGGTGAGATTTTTTCCTACCAAGAATGTCGGGTTGCGTTCATTGAAACTGAAATTAGTCGACCACGGTAGCAAGCGATGAACAAATATCATGCTTACATAATATTTGCTCAAGATTTCATCGGAGGCGATGGCATCGGCGACAAACGATCTTGCTGTACACGGTCAACTTCTCTCTTGCAGCTACAAATTTTTTTTGCCAACCGTCCGATTGACCGACAGATGATCTCTAGGATAAGCACGGGCTTCTTAATAAGGTCAGAACGAAGGACTGCAATTTCAGTTCTCCTAGAATGGTTGTTTTGCCTCTTGGCGGTTTTTTCTGTGTTTTGGGGGTAAACGAAAGTGAAAAACTGGTCCGGGTTTTATTTGTTTTGGGCCGATTCAAACACTTGACCCATTTCCTTTTCCTTTTCTTTTGCCACCTCACAGTGCCATCAACTAAACAAGTGGGTCACATCTCCAAGTGGTAAAAGAGGAAGGTGGAGAAATCCAGTTTTGCTAGAGGCTGTCGCATCAAGAGTTCGAATCCTGAAATATGGATTTGGCTCTTGGATAAATGCAAATGTACAAGCAGCCTTCCACCCTGTACCCTTGGAAGCATAACCTGCGATTTACCTCACTCACGATACTCCAGAATAGAGGCGGTGGGAAACCCTTAAGGTTGGGGTTCAACCTTTTTAACTAAACAAGCGGGGCACATATAGCAGGATTGAATAATCTTTAAGGCCGTATTGTGGCACTTTCCCAATGGACATAAATAAGACCTACAAGTCTTGGCCACATTATCTAATAAATGAAACTACTTTCCAGCAACATTCTAGTGGGGCATGTGTCTCATATTTATTATTATTACTGTGCATTTATACTGAACCACATTGGGACTTGCCCTACGAAAACGTACAGAACCTTACTCTAGACCTGAACTACTGATTTTATGCAGATAAAGAAATCAAATATTGTTATATAATTTCCTTTGTACCCCTACCATGAATTCGAATTAGGTAACAGATAACTTGAAAAACTAGCCGCTGTCACGTGCGTTGCATTATATTTATCGTATTTTTATTAGTGTATGAATTTTAGTTTTTTGAAACAATATCTAAAAATATTTCCATAATATAAGAAAATAATTGCAAATTATTTTTACAATTGCATAACAGTATGTTATCTAGAAAAAATATACTTGCATATTTCATACTTGAATAAGAAATATACAAACTATTTTGTATGTATTCTTTGATAGTATTGATATGATTAAGTTGAATGTGAAGATTATATTTCTAAATTTTGTGTAATTCAATATTGGAAAATTGAAGATTAAGCACAAAGTTATAAATCGACTTGCATATTCATACATATATTTTAATATTTATTTTTTACTTATGTTGAAAAAATAAAAATTTAGAAAAAAATTTTGACATTCAGTTTGGTAAGTAAATGTATTGTGTTGTATATTCTCAATATTTGTAAGTGCAAAAATAAAACACGAAAGGTGCAAATACGTTAGGCAACATATACTGTAAGCTGCAAATACAGTAAGTTGTGTGCAAATACGGTAGCCTGCAAATACAGTAGGTAGACAACATATGCGGTAAGTTACAAATACTGTAAGAGATGGTAAGTTGCATATACAGAGTTATAATTTGTTATAGATGTATAAAATTTATTTAGAATTTCTTACAATATTGTTTCCTTTTTTATAATTGTATTTCCAAGAATTTAAAAAAAAAAAGGTGGTTATGAAATTGATAATTTGTAAATGTGTTTTATGTTGAAAATAAAAATGATTTTTTTATGTGATTTGTAAAAAAAAAAAAAAATTATTGTAATTTTATTAGTGTAATAAGAAGATTTATTATGATTATTTAAAAAAATTTAACACCACACAATAAATCCATACTTTTAACCTAGTGATTGCAAAGTCTTTTGTGTATCAATAATGCATTTCCCATTCAAACAATAAATTTTGGCATCATTCTTTCTTTTTCATTTTTTCACAGGTTTTACTCGTCTTCTTCATATGTTTAGATGTTTTTGTTAGTTCTTTTGTTGTTAACAAGTAGCAATGATGATTTCTATGAGTGTTTTTTTTTTTGTATTATATTGAAATTAAACTTATTCTTGTAATTATATTTTTTTATTAGATTTAATGCATATTTTTCACTAATAAAACAACAAACTAAACAACAAATATTAGGTTGCATGATTAAATTATACAAAAAAAGTCGCTGACGTAATTCCATAACTCCACACAATGTGTAGACACTCCGCACAAATGTGTGCGGAGTGTCCACAGATGTGTGTGGACTCTCGTCACATTGTACGAACACTCCACACAGAATGTGTGGACACTCCACACATTTCATGCGGAGAGTTCGCATTTTGTGCAAACAGTCCGCACATCTGCATAATGTGTGGACACTCCGCACAAGAATGTGCGGAGACTTCGCACAATCTGTGCAGAGTTCCCGCACAATGTGCGGAGTCTCTGCACATTGGACTCCGCACATTTGGAAACGTGAACGTACAACATGTTTACTAGAAGTGAGATAAAAAACTAAAACAACATATAGCATTGGAAAGTATTGCTAAATTTAAACCTCTTAAACTAAAGGTCCTTAAATGTCAATCAATAGAATAAAGTTGCACTTCATGCATTAGATTGTTCAGTTGAGGATTCTTCATGCACATCTGCTTTCTCTTTCTTTCGCAAGCTCGCCTATTCTTAAACCAGTCACCAACATTTTTTTCTGAAATAATAGGATTATGTGGCAATAAAGTGGACACTATATATGGAATCTCTGCATTGTTTGAACTTCTATTTTCTCCATCAAATATGCACTCGAAGAAAATTAACCTCCGTAGATGTAGGTACCCAACGTTGTCTTCCCATAATCGTTTTGCCGACAGTAAGCGAAACAGCTAACAAAAAAAAGAGAATGACTCGTTGAAAGCTTGAAGATGAAGTTTGACAATAGTATAAAAGAAGAGATCGGGAATGTGGGTCGAAGAAAAACATAGAAGAAAATCCTAAATGCCACAGCACCAAAACAAAAATNAAAAAAATAAACATGAACAGTGAAATGGGATTACTTTACTGTTGCCTCTACAGTGTCATCCCATTCCCCTTTTTAATAGAAGTTAGATATGAAATATATTACTTGTACATAAAAATAATACGTAAAGAATTGCATAAAAGGATGTAGAAGAAAAAAATTGGATGAAAAATTTAATTGTATTTTAAACTAAAAATTATAAAGTGAGATGTAGTATTATGTAAATCACTATGTAAAACTTGATATATATGTAGCAACATCCCAAAATTATTAGCAAGTAAAAACCCCCTTTGAATGCCTGCCATGAATTCCTTAGTATAATTAACTTGGTTTATTAACAAGTAAAAATACATTTGAGTCTAGTTTTTTTAGACTACATGATAAACTAAATCATGTCAGAACCCAAAACTTAGCCCCGCTTTGAACCCCTCTTTATTGTGAAAATTAGTAATTTTTTATCCATTATACTAAATTTACATTCTACTGATATTAAGTTTGTCATTGTTGTAAGGTGACAAAGCTTTATGCATTGATTTTAACAATAAGATAGAGTTTAGATGGGTATTATGGTTTATAATTCTAGCAAGGGTTTATTTTTTATTATTTTTAAGAAAATAGTCCTCTTTTGTATTTAATTCATAAAAGTATCTTGGTTAATGTTCGTATGTGAAATCTTTATATTTGTGAGGAATCCTCCAGGTTCTCCTAGTCACCTTAGCTTTCTAGGGTATGATGTCTTTAGTTAAGATGATTCGAATTATCTTTGCATTTTTCTAGAGGCTATAAAGGCACTCATGAGTCAACTCGGCCCTTCCCCTATTTCACCTTGCTGCTAATAATAATCCAAGTAAGACATATTGCTCATGCAATTTAGATTCCTCATTTTGGTTCTAGCATGAACAACACTAACCAAAGAGTCTCACATTGTCCAAAAAGGTCCTTAAGGGAAGCAAGCACAATCATTTATTTTTGGGAAAGTGGTCAATTAATTTGTGCGGATGCTTGTTCATTAGAATGATTAATTAGCCCTTGCCTAAACAATATGAAACAAATCTTAATTCAGTCTTGGTTTGTTTTATATGTTAAATAGGATTAGTATCTTACAAAAATTTCATGAAATTTCGCAGTGAAAGGATTGGCAAGGAAAGCGAAAGCATGGATATTGGGTGCCCTCAAGAGTGGCAGCCCACACTTGGATTGTTTCGTTGGCACTGATGCTGTGATAATAATGTTTAGATTTGCTCTTCCAATTTTGATCCCATCTGATGGTGCACATGCGCTCAGTGAAGATGAGAAATCCAAAAGAATGCTCATTTTATCTGGTTACGCTTGGATCACATTATTGGTCTCCTCATTGGGTTTTATGAGCATTAGACTCTGGTATTTTGGGTTTCCATTCTGGAATTTTCCCCCTTATTTGTACTTTGAGGTTCCATTCTGGAATTATTCCACTTATCATGAGGTATGTAACTTTTATACTCTCTTTTCAAATTAAGACTTGATTTCAACAATTGAAAGGAGCATAACTTCTAGTCAATTTATAATTTTTATTAGGAAAGAACACTCGCGGAAGAATTGGTTGCTCTCTTCTGGGTTGCTCTCAAACATGCCGACTCTGACATTATTGAAGTAAAGGGACAAAAACGCCCTGGAAGAATTGGTTGCTCTTGCATCTTAAGAGGCATATATGTAT